GTTCCCATCCGGCAAGCTATTTGCTAAAATGAACGGATTCATATGGTGACGCTGCGGTACCCACTCACACTTTTCATCCATTTATTCCTTTCACTTTTCATCGTTAAGCGTGTGATAGGCCTCTGTACAATAAACATCTAGTCTTCCGTAATTGGTGTGTGACTGAAATACTCGAGCCGTCAGCATATTCAGTACTCGGCCCTGCATACAGTAACATGAATCGTTCTTCTCCAACAGGCAGCAAGAAAAATGGGAGTGGATTGCATCGTGGCACCTTATGAAGCGGATGCGCAACTCGCTTATCTCAATCGGGCCGGTTATGCAGATTNTGCAGATTTGGTGATTACCGAAGACTCAGATCTCCTCCTGTTTGGTTGTAGGCAGGTATGTTGACGTTTCCTTCACTATGCGATGAACACGAGATTCTGTGAATGGAATGCGTCCTGTTTTCAAATAAAATTTCTAACTACTCGCAACCTTTCAGTAGCACAACTGAATGTTTATTGGTAGGTAGCTCACCAGTCGCGGCAGGTGTGAACGTTGTGTCTAATCGCTGTCATTCACATGCACATCCGTTTTTCTACTTGACACTTTCCTGTGGTTATTACCATTTAGTCATTTTGTATGTGTATGCAGCTCGTCTGAAAGTTCAATCTTGCACGAGAACAACGATTATGCAAGAGGATTACATGATCGCAACAACAGTAGACTTAACCTAAACTGGTAGATGGTACCCTTGTCGATTGCTTAATACAGCTTTCAGAAAGTCATACTGTTTCGTTCCTCACAGTATTCCGCTTATCTGGTAATCGTCTGTCGCATCGCACCTCATTCGTTGTTTATCACTTGGGACTAAAGAAAATCATGTGGAGCCCAAAAGATGAAGTGAAGACGAGCCATGAAGATGTGTACAGTAGATTTCTCTCGTCTTCCAGGCTACAGTCCAAAATACTAACTGGTTGGCTACAGACTGAAGAAAACGAAAACGGACTGATGGCAGTGCTGTTCTTGTTACCACTTCTCATCATGTCAAAATGTTAGAAGAGGTGTGTACGGACAGTTAGATTGTATACCCCGAGTTTACCATAAAACTTAACTTTTTTACTTTTCCGCAAAAGATGTCCACTTTAGGCGTTTATATTACTTTATGTACGGTATTAGCGGTCTGTGAAGTCCACGTCACTGTATTTCACTTTACGATAGTGATGACTATTCTTCGTTCTATGTGCCTTATTTCCTTGTCTCCGTAGTCACATTTATTTTAAGACACGGTTTCTTTTGCATCAACCCTTTGATAGCAGTTGCTCTATTTTTAGGTGATTTTCAAACTCGATCTCACAGGATCTGGTGTTCTGGTTGCCGTCACAGCTGGCATTGGGGAGCTGTGCTGTGGTATGAGACCGAGTCAGTTCACTGAACAGACTTTACGCTTCATGGGTATTCTTTCTGGCTGCGATTACTTCCCTGGAATTCCAGGTATTGGGCTGGCGACTGCAGCAAAGGTAAGTAGCCTGTCTCCAAACGTGAATTTAATCTTTGGCTTAATTTCGATTTCATTTCAAGATTTATCTATTAATTTCAGCAAATATTTTTATATATCGCCGCACTGAAATTGTTTGTCCCAGGTGATGTGTTGCATCATGAAACAAAGCAAAAAAATAGATAATGAGATAATATATATGTTGTGAATCACAGCATGTAAGCGGTTGTCCCTGATACATTGCTATACTCATTGCCTTGCAAGAAACGAGAAGCACCATAGGCGGTATTCCGAATGTACGCTAACTTCAGCGACATCCGGTCCCAGAAGCGGACACATCCCTCTAGGTGTGCATGCTTATCTATATGTTCTATGAATAAGTGTCGCTTAGTAGGTTATAATTCCAGGACCTTTCACAAATTTGAGTGTTCATTGGTTATGAAATCAAATGAATACTATGAGGTTGTTACTCGTGCGCGATATAATTTCGATCCATTGGCGTTGAAGCGTTCTACGGCACACCCGCAAACGATTTCATGAGAAAATAGATTCGTAGGTAATACGGTATGCTTTATTCGTTTAAAAATTTTAGTAGATATACTGAAATCGAAAAGGATTCTGTAGAGCAAGCAATGGAAACGAATATGCAGGTGTAAAAACATGAATATCACACAAAACTGAATCCCGTCTACCTCGGCCAACAAAAATGACTAGATAGCTATACAGGAAAGAGTAACCGAATAAGCATGCACACAATAAGTAATAAAACACGGTGGAACGTTTAAGAATCAGCAATAAGGGTCGTGGAAATTAAATCAAATCCTTTAAAGCGGTTTTTCATGTCAGAACATCTAGAATATTGAATCACCTAGGTATTCCACTGAAAGTTCAGGCAAATAATGTGAACATGAATGTAAACTGCAACGCAGTAGCGTTCATGCGAGACTAGCCCTTCCTTTTGGCGACTAAATATTTATACCATTGTATTGGTGAGTATCAAAGTACAAATCAGTAGTTGAAATTTGTGTGGCATATATAAACGCATCTGTAAGCGGGGTTTCAGACAATGCGCTAATTCAATAATGGTGCAAAATTCCAATGTTAATAAAAGATGTGGGGCCGAAACTAAGAGAGGACAAACTTACATTGGAGATTGAACGCAGGAGTTACATAATCCATACGCTTTATGTGGTCTTTCTAATTCAAATGTAATCACAAAAATGAAATAAAAGAAAAAGAAAGTATTGCACTCTTATCCACTCCAGGATTAACCGATGGAGTGTTCGATGTGTTACTATGGTGCGTGAATAACTGTCCTTCAGGATAGCTATTGAGCCCTTCGTCGGTATGGGCTACCGCAAGGTATGTCGTGCCCTAAAGCCTTAGGCACCCATTGGGAGAAATCTCTTTCCCATCTGTTTAGTTCTTCCGATCAATCCCAAATACCTGTTTACACCACCCATCGGATATCACTCAGCGTTTTACGAGTAATGCTAATCAATCAGAAGTTATATGCTTTTTGAAGCCGAAATTCCCTTTTCATTGAGCCGCGTTCAATGTTCGCACACTCTACCAGATCGCTCAACAAGCTGCTTTGCTAGAAACCTTGAAACCTTCCATTTAGATGTATGTTGTGTCTCCGAAACACGCATACAAGACCCTACTTCAATTAGTTTTCCTACGTTCTCCTAACCTAACCTCGACCTCACGCTTCACTCTTCGTGCGATTTGGCATCCATAGATTACGTTGGTTGGGGCATGTGTTACGCATGTCACCAAATAGGTTGCTAGAGACGCGCGATTTTCACCGCGGCAAATCATAGATGGAATAGAGCCAAGGGTGGTCAAAATCAAACGTGGCCCGAGAATATGAAATCCCTAATCAGTAGAGTGGGTCACATAGGTCCCGTTAGGTCTTTCTTTCGCAACCAGACGTCAATGTTTTAAACCTACGCACTACACTCAATCGCAAGCCACCAGGTACTACACGTGTGAATCCCTACTCGAGAGTAAGTTTTAACTGTCCCGTTTGTCTTAGGTCTCCAAACGTTTCCGATCACTGAAGCTGTACACTACGTACACGTTTCCATGTCTCGGCTTTGTGGACGGATGCTTAAATGTATGATAGTGAATAAAAAGGCAATACTTATCCGAACATGTACTGACGAATGATCAGTGACGCTGTCTAGGTGTATCGCGGGTTTCCGCCTGCGCGGAATCTCTGCTGCAAATGACCACAACTCTCTGAGGAAACTGATGTACGAACCTAGACACTGTAAGACTAGCCATGACTCTGTCGTCCCACAAGTCACGGTTGGCTGTCAGATGTCTACCCGAAAATAAAAATGCCGATTCGTACAACAATGCCGTTTTTAACTCTGGAATGTCGTTAGATTCCTCTATAAAACTAGCCTATCCTCGCCCTAAATTAAAATTACGTGAGAAAAATAACTGTTTTATGCTATAAATTCGGGGTTTTCGTTTACTAGCCTGACAAAGAATTGCATCGTTATTTCAGATCTTTTTTGTGGATTTTGTAAAGTTCTTAAGTCACTACCTCGGTTTCTCACTTCCCCAACGCTATCATTAATGATAAAAGTGTGGATGATTTTCCTTCCTAATACGTATTTATCTCAGATTCTCCGGCAGACACGGTTAACGGACTTGCGTGAGTTACTCACGAAAATTGGCTTGTACGTCAACTTGAATGCAGCCGCCGTTTCCTTCAAAATGGGTGACGAAACATCTGACAAATGTGAAAACGGATTTTCCATGAATCAATCTAATCAAACGCGTTGCACGGACAAAAAACTAACTAGAAATGCATCCAAAGGGCTACACTGCACAGTTATTGATGCAGCCGTACGCGCAGAACGAACTTTCCGTCTACAGGTTGTTTTCGATCCGGCCAATCGAATGCAGTGCCGCCTTACGGATCCTACGCCCGAGGATATCAGTGATGAATTGCGCATGTGTTGGAACGGACCCACGAAAGACGACACAGAAAATTTGTTCTCGTTTGCCGGACAGTGAGTTCATCCAACAGTGAAATAGGGATTCTTAGATTTTTCATTGTTTGAACATTCCCATAGTACATATTGTGAGAAAACAGGTTAACGAACTTGTCGATACCATAAAAGTTACTTAACTCTTACAAAATCTGAAGATTGGAAAGGAAAGAAAGGTGGGTCCTAAGGAATCCTGAATCACCCTATCATCAAATGCGTGTTTCAGTGTGACAACACTATTAGTTGTAACCTTTCGAACCCTAACTGGAGCTGCTCTTGAGCCCGAAATAATGCTCTCGAAACAAATCCTGAGTGATCATTGATTCAGTTCCTAATTGGTTAATACGTCCCTGTCTGTACTCCTTCCATCTCCATCAGTTTCTCGTTCTTTAAGAAAACAGATTATGAATAGAGTGCTAATACTGACGAAAGACGTTCGTTGTCATATGAGGCAGCAAACTTTAAGTCCATCCACGCGCAGTTCGTGTTTGGTGTTATTATTTGAATTGCTCACTGTGCGTCCATCTGCAAGAACTGAAAATTTATCGTTTCTGTCCTTAGAGCGAACCGTTAGCCATCATGGGCGCAATTTTGAGAATGGATTGATTCTAATTGCTTACGAAGATATTGAAACCGGAATCTTCGTAATTCGGAGAAAACTCATCTATGTAATAAGGTACAGGAAAAACAAGCAGCTTCTATTGTATTCTTTGATCCATTTGGTCAAGATAGTAATTATGCTGTGCACGGTTTCCTGAATCGTGGTTTTTGACCCTTTTGCGATGTGAACCGATGCGGTTTGTTTACACAATTCTGGGAAATATCTTACTCTGTAGTGTAGCATTTCTTTCCCTTTGTAACATGTCTAGGTGATTTTCTCTCTTTCGCCTGGTCTCAATATTCCAATAGGTTGCTGAAAGATCGTCAAATGGCAACACAACTGGCTTTGGGAAATGTTCAATTTGACGACGGTCGGATTCTGAACAATTTCGATCCGGATTCACCTGGCCAGGTAATAATTGCTTCGTTGTTTCACCAAATGGAATACCTGGCCTAACTCAGTAACATTTTTCGTGCTCTGTTGATCACGGACCCCGTTTCTGAAACATTTGCTTCACTTTGTTGACTGGCAGTTCGAGGTATCGAAACAGGGTATTGCATCCTCACCAATTGTTGCAATCCATCTTTGTTCACGGAAGTTTCCCACTATCAACAGCGATATCTTGCACGCCGGGCAGAGCACTTTGAGGTACATTTTAGCTGGCCGCTAGCGTCGGTTTCTCAGACAGGTATTCCGGCACATTTCCCATGGTCTGTCTCATCAGACCTACCTTCTGAAGCGGAAATTAGTAAGGAGATCCAAGCCTTGGGACGTCACAGCGCTGGGTTCCGATGGCCTTCTCCCTGCTCTATTTAAAAATGGTGGAATAAGGCTTGTTGGAGAATTACAAGTTCTGTTCTCTGAGATTTGGAACCCTGGGCAGGTTCTCTCCTCGTGGGTGGAGGGGAGATGGGGGAGGGGGGTGATCAATTAATGTCCCCATCTTCAAAACGGGCCCGCGCAATGACTGCGCCAATCATAGGGGTATGAGCCTGGTCCCGTTAACGTCAAAACTGTTGGCGTCCGTCATTCTCCGCCGATTGTACACTATACGTGAAGAGCAGATCGGTGAGGAGCAGGCTGGGGTTCGCGCCGGTCGTGGATGCATCGATCAAATCTTCATTCTCCGGCAGCTGTTAGAGCACCATCATGCTTATCAAAGACCAACGATCATTTTATTCTTAGACATCCGCACGGCCTTGGACTTTGTCGATAGGACCGCACTATGGAACTGCTTGTTGAGGAATGGTGTACCTGAAATTATGAATCGATCATCAAAGAATTTTATTATCATACCTCAGGTCGGGTTGGGGCCTATGACCAGCTTTCGCCACTCTTCGCTGTCTCCAGTTTAGTTCGACAAGGCTGTCCTATATCCCCATTCCTTTTCAACTTTGTCATAGGGGATGTTCTACGGAATGCTTTGTTCGGTCTAGCAAACGGTGGGGTTGAACTCCTCCCAGGGAACAGTGTCTTCTACTTAGAATATGCCGATGACATCGCCTTGTTGGGTGAAAACACACAGACAGTCTAAGACGCTTTGAACCGCTTGGTGATCGAGGTATCCAGGTATGGTATTTGCTTTGCATCGTTTAAGTGCAGAGTGCTTGTTCAAGACTGGTAGGAGCTTGTGCCTGCACTCACCTTCTGTGGTGATCAGCTGGAAGTAGTTGAGAGCTTTAGATACCTCGGGCGCTTGATCACAACTGGTGTTAATGTTGGAGAGCGGATCACATCACATAGCGAAAGCTAGAGCAGCTTTTGCCAGCCTGCGACAACTGTGGCGCCACCATGACATCCGACTGTCTCTTAAGGAAAGGGTGTGCATCGCCGCAGTCCGTAGCGTTCTCCTTTACTGTTGCGGGGCCTGGCTCCTCCGCACTGAGGATGCTAATCGATTTTCTGTATTCGACCACCGATGTCTCTGAAACATTGCTTCTGTCTGGTGGGAATACGGGGTGAGTAATGACGAGGCTCGTCGTCGTGTGCTGTGTGCGGATAGCCGTTCTCTAACAAAAGTAATCGCTCTACACCGCCTTCGATGGCTTGGTCACGTATTGCGTATACCTGCTCACCGACTATCTTTCCGTGCTCTCTTTGCATGCGCCGGACAAGGCTTGAAGAAGCGGCACGGCGGTCAGTCCATGACATGGTTTAGAGGTGTGAAGAAACTGTCTTCAGTTTTGGCTTCGGTTGGTGGAGCTCGCCTTCTAGGCCGGGGCCCAAGGAGTGAGATTGTCGTTGGTTAGAGACGCTAAAGATGTGGCCTAGAATAGAAGTTAGTGGCGCGAATACTGTGCGGTTTGCCTTTTGAAATCCCGTGCCCGATAAGAACGATGAACTCGTGCAAAAATATCAAAAGTTGTATAATGAAACAAAAAGAATCGTTCTCGTTTTTAGAACTTGACCATCTGAGCCCCTTTACGCTGCTTTGTATCCCACCTCCCCATTTTCTGTTATTATCGTGTTGCGTTGGCACCAAGCTTACTTGGTATATATATACATCCGTTATGTGACAACGGTTCATTCACTGACAGTCATCCGATCAGTCTAAACTATTTTTAACGTAAATTTACGTACATGTGCATAAAAACAACACAATAATGCCCCACGAACAGTTGCTTTCCTTTGCTTCAACTTTTTGTGTCACCTCGATTCTAATGCATACTCGGTTGGTGTCCATTATTCGTATCGTACACCGTATTTTGCTGATTTCTACTCCGTTCAAATTGAGCACATGCTGGATGCCGATCGATAGCACCAAGATTGTGTAGAAGAATGTGATTGAGAAAAATATTTTCTGTCCTTATCTTGAGTTGAGAAACTAGCAACAAGCGTTGTCGTACTTCATTCAAATGATTTCCATAATCGAACCATCTGACCGTATTTCGGTGTGGTTTGAGCAAGTTGCTAGCGTCATAGTTCAACAAGCACAGACACTTCAGGCAATGAACACTGCGTCCCTAGAAGAAAATTTGCGTAGATCTTAATGAGGCCTTCACGCTTTTGTACATCGTCACTGTTGCTTGAGTACGCCATGGCACATTCACTAACATGAACCGTTAAACAACGCCAATCCTTAGCCGGCTAATCATATATCTGTCACAGACATACGTGACCAGTGAGTTTATCAGTAGCCTGCAGATGAGTGCATTATGTCTCTGCTTAACTGTACATTGATCCGAGGGTTGGCTCTCCTGTAATTCGCTCTTGTGTTGTTCAGAATGGTCGCAGCTTCCAGTCGAGTTACCACGCCGCCTCACTGACTCGCTTGTAGTTTAACAGCCAATTAGTCTTAACTGAGAATAGTTCAAATGGTTATAGCAGGGACGTGTAAATTTATGCTCACCCCTACAGTAGATCGGTGTTCAGTTTTCTCCTTTGACCGTAATGATTCAGTAGAATCCAGGATTCACTGCTGACATTGTAGAAATCAGGCGAACTTAGTGCGGTAAGCGAATCACCGGTCATTGGTTCTCACAACACCAATGTTTATCACTTGGCAATCAAACCTATCGATGAATGTTGTTCTCAGCGCGATTTGTGTAGATAGTCGGAGTTACAATTTTTTGAAAGAACCGTTTCCCCCTAACGATTCTGAATAAAGAAGCTAAAACACTATGCAGCGTGTACGTGTGTAGATGCAAAGAAATTATTATTATTAATATATATTATTTATTATCATTATTATAGTTCACACGTGAGTTCCAACCTGGTGCCAAACAAACCACAATACAATACTCTTTATTAAGAAAAAGAACAGTTCCATGGTTTGCAATGAAGTGGTTCAGGACACATTGTACATACCTGTTTTCAACTTCTCTACTCAATTTTAATTCCTCTGAAAGCAATCTTTTAAATGTATTTCCCAAATAATTATATGCCAATCACTTTTTCTTTTGCTACACCCACCTTTCATTCCCCTTTTTTTGCGACATCAGGTTCGTATACCAGTCGCTCTTCAGAAGCCACGATCCGAAGGCAATCTTTTGTCTCATGTGTCCAAACTTTCCTCCACAAACTCTACTCGACCAGTCCTGGGACAGTTGGGTCAGGGAGCTAGGGCTAACGCAGTAAATGCCTCACTACAGCCCAATCAACGGCGCTTGCTAATGAGCATATGGCAGAAAGATTACCCAACTCAAAAGAGTGAGTGAATGAACAAATCTGAGGAAATAAAAACCCCTCGATAAATGTAAAGTATATCATGCCACATGTTTGATACATTATGCTGTTTCATTCCGCTTTATCATTCTCTAGGGTACACTGTTCATTCGTTTCTCCGTACAAGTCACGAGTGTGAATAATCTAGAGTAGTTATAAAAATTCAGTTCACGTTATTTTACAGTTACGTCCTATAAACAGTTCTCCCGACTTTTATTCCATCACGACGAGACTGCACCCTGACTTGTTGTGATGGCCTGTGTTCCTCCATGACCCTTCAGGCCATACAATGAGGCTTTTCAAAGCTGCGCATCCAGTCATATCTAGAAGGTCAATGGATAGAGGCCAGATGAAAATCAGTCCCACAAGGCCAGCTGCTTGGGCACCTACTGACTTCCCTTGTCATTCCACATGCTCCTGTAGAGATCACTTCAGCAAATAAACTTTGTGAGAGGCACTTTACCGGTTAGTTTTCAGTTTGTACAACTATTAACCACGCATATTCGTGCACCGGTTTTGGTTGCCTATTTGGATGAAGAATAGGAGAAGAAAAGAAAGTTGAAAGTGGAG